TTAAAATCAATTAATAAATCTCCACGAAAATTTACTATTGTTTGAGTGAAATAAAAATGTAGTGTTACTTTTCTAATAAATACATAATATAATTAAAATTGTCATGGAATAGTGGACGTTTCATTATTACCATGGTCAGTATATTCACTACAAAATTTCAACATTTGGATCAACAATATAACTCGTTATCAAAACTAGAATTCCAACCTAAATTGTATACATATCCAGTTGTGCATATTTTACACCGCCTATTTTTAAATATTTTAGAAATAATCTCATATATTTCAGTTTATTTTTATCCCATGATTTTACATTACTCAAGTAGTTTTTTTCACCTTCTTCTGCTTATATGTTTATCAGTAGATTGTCTCATTGTTATTTCATATTATCAGGATAGTTGAAATGTAATTCGATTTTTTTTTATTTGTCTCGACCTAATATCTTCATCACTTTGTCATGACGATTATCTTTGTATCTTATTTCAGTATAGATAAGAATTTATTGGCTTGCTTGTACATATTTCGTGTACATTTTATTTCGTTTTTTCGGTATTTCTGTTGAGACAAAAGGCACCTTGTATAAAATTTTCACTTAGCGAAATGAAGCTGAGTAGTAGACTGTTAATCTTACTTTACATGTGTAAATTTTATACGAGGTGCCTTTTTGTCATGGTTAGAACTGCTGGGAAATGCGCTTTCATAGTCAGTTTCTCTCGTAGCCTGTTAACTCAAATTATACTGTATTTTATTAACCTTTTATTGTAAATGTAATTTGAGTCTTTTTGGTTAGACACTAGATAGAGAGCTTAATTCTTACTTTGTTCTTGACTTGAGAAGATGGCTAACTACCTGAAGGCGCAACTAAAAGGAATATTAAAATATCAAGATGGTGACCAACTTGGGTGTATGTGTTTGCATGTGTGTCTGTATAGGTTAACAATTTCAAGATGTCAGAATCAGATTATTAATGAAACAAAACACGCACTTATATACGTAACCAAGTGGAAGAGTACCATAACCTGATCTTCAAATAAAATGGTCAATCAAGGACAATGTGGAGGTAAATAGATTTCCAACAAATGTTACTGTCAAACGCAGGCCTATAGCCTTTACCTCTAAAACGCATTAGTATTGAATGCGAACAAAGCGAGAAGAAAGATATTTTTAAGTTGGCATTTCTAGAGTGGCTTTAAAAGCCACCGTAGCAACAACTGAAATAACCAATTGGACTTCTCTGTTTTATTAAGATCTGTCTTTCCAGCAGAAATGTAAAAGCCTGATTGGTTATTTCGATCGTTGCTAGGGTGGCCTTTAAAGTCACCGTATTTTTTATTGCAGACTGAAATTAGTTGGAGAACTATTCAAAACCTGGAAGTAAAGAACAGCTGTTCCATTCTAGTATGAGACTCTTCAGCCGTAGTTTCTCATTACTCCGCCAAGGATAGAGATCAGGAGTTTCAGGTTCTGTTGTCGCGGAACCTGAAGGTTCTGATTTCAATCCTTGGCAATGTCATGGGAGCGCACTACTGAGAAGTCCCATACTAGAACAATACAGGTTTCCTGGTTTTCAGTGGTTCTCTAAATGATGTCAGCTCGTTTTATTTCACGGGCTCTTATCAGCTGGAAACAGCATAAAATCACGAAATTTATTATAATCAAGAGATAAATATGTAACGCAACTTAACTGCTCCAAGCAAAGATAAATTTTACAAATCATAGTACACCGTCAGATTAAGAAAATATGAAGATAAGGTATAGACATAGTATAATCAAAGTTAGGATTTATGTATGAGAAATTTATCATGAAATACAGAAAACTGAAAAAAGAAAAATCTACACATGAAATTACTAAGAAGAAACAGGTTTTCATCTAGCTTACATTAAACAGTGACAAGGTTTCATTAGAAATCTAAAAAAGGATTGAAGAGAAATTGAAAAGAACCTTGTGTACAGCCGACTTACTCATAATGTCTCTAACTACAAATTTTCATGAACTTGTAGAAGCATATACGTAGAGAGGACTGGAATTAGGATAACTAATAGATTACTTGAACATGTCTCTAAACGTTTACGCCTAAAAGGGGAAGGATCTTTTACAAGTTCAATCGCCAGACACCTAAGACACTTAATGTTAATAATAACAACAGTATTGAAGGCAATAATGTGAAATAGCCAGCTGGTTTTGGATGTGCATCCGGTTCATAATGAAGAATCAACAGAAATCTAAGCGTAAGTTTAGTGTTAACGGTTCATTCAGACGGTACAACAATCTGCAACTCACTCTTAGCATCTGACGGATAGAAATATGATGTACTTTTTTTCACTGAAAAGTCTACTTCTATATAACATAACATTTTTTTCTCTGCTTTGTGATGGGTTCAAGAGACAGATAGTTGAAAATAGTTTAAAAATGTGCAAGAGTACATGATACGTTCAGACGAAATATTTAAATTATTAAAACAAATTGAAAGGAAAGAATTTGGTGAAAAATGTTCGATGGATAATTTTGGTAGCCCAAGGTTCAAGTAGGCCGCCGTCATTTATATTCAGTTCGTCTTTCTCCTGAGATTTTTACCCCCTGATTGATATTTATTCTTAACTTTCTAATAAAAGACTTTGTTACGTAATTTCTTACTTTCCCCTTGACTTCAGTACGTTTTATTGCGTAATACGTGGACTTTAACCCTAATTTTGATTATTTTACTGTCTCTGTTTTTCCTCGTTATACTGGTCTATTGTGAATTTTGAACTTGACTTTTACATGGAACATTTTAAGTATGTTACAAGTTTTTTTGGATTATGATGACCTTTATGATCCTAGTGGGACTGCAGCTCATGAGAAGCCGTGAAATATAAGTGTATGCCTTCAAAATGATATTCATCATGATCTAATATCAACTGGTGAAGCATTAAAAACTTGAGAGAATGGGAGAGCTGCTTCACTCTAGTGAAGGACTCTCCAGCATTGTGCATTCCAAGCCCTACGGGGGCTTGTTCCTATGACCTTCATGTCTTACGGCAACCATGTTGTCATTGAGCCACTGAATCAGAATCCAGTGACCCATATTTTCCTATTTCTGTCAATTTGCAATACTATGTAACTGTCATCCTACGCCATCATCTACTCAACTTGACTGATGCACTGACAAAAGCTACTCATGAGAACCTCGGAAAATCCATCTCATCGAGTACCACTAATGACCACAAGGCAGTAGTTCGGTTTTGTTAAGAATCCTGCGAAAACTTTCTGACTTACCTTCCTCAAATGTTAACGCCATGGAAGTTTTAAATTCTCTTTTCTTGTTGTTACCATTATTAGTTAGTATATAGATTATCTGCTTCTGGGTTTCTCATCTTTTACTTTTTACTTCCTATTCATTTTCGTATCACATTACAAGGATAATTATTGATCACCAAGATTTCTTTCGTTTATCTTATTTCCTGTCGTAGATTTTCTTTTTAATTACTTTGACATTGCCCTCTATTTTTCTTAAAATATTTTAATAAGCTTGTAGAAAACTTACGCATTTCCTTTGGTTCTTAGACTTCAGGTCATTTCATTTTCCATATTAGTTGAAATAGGTTTAGTGAAATGTTTAGTTAATAGAGCCAAATATCTGTGACAATCAATAATTACCTCCCCCTTAAAGTGATGCAGAAATGTATTAGAAGTCATAAGAAGAGAGATGAGGAACACTTACACAGATATTAGGCATGCTAACTAATAATGTCAACACCAAAAAACAAGAATTCAAAGCCTCCATGGTGTTACCATATCAAGAAGGTACCTCAGAAAGTCTAAGTAAGATTCTTAACAGAACTGAGATAAACGTGGCATGTAAGTCTCCAAACTAACTGAAAAACAAGCTTGGCAGGCTAACAGACCTTATACAGCCCATTATATCAAGTAATTTTGAGTATCAAACTCCATACAACAATTATAACTTCAAGTATGTAGGTTAAAGTAGTCGAATGGGGTCATTTAGAATAACAGAGCCTTAAAAACGTGACCAAATCTAAAGTGATAGTCATTAGTAAGATAAAGAAACTAGGAAAAGGCTTAACTATTACGACGCATAAAATTAAACACAGCTACACAGTGGAACGGTATAGGGTAACAGTCCGTCCTCAAAACTAAATTACTGCGGTGGAAGGAAAGGTTGTTAACTGAAGCTTTGTTTATCGGATCAACATTCAACTCAGACGATAGGAATGACTCAACATCTATGCTAGATATTCGGAGTATTCTACTACTCACATGGCAAGCGATAGAGGTGAAATAGAATGGAGTTATCGTTGATATGAATGTGAACGATAAGTTCTGTTTGTAACATCATCTAGTTTCACTGTGTGGAATATCCAACCAACCAACTAATATGAAATTGAACATATGAAGCTATCTAATGTACTTGGTAGTAGTTTAGTTATGCGTTGCAAAGACACTCTGATTCAGTCATGGTCAATGTATGCATGTATGTACGTAATCCAGACCCGTAGGAGGTCAATCGCTGCCCGAGTAGGTCAGTGGTAGCACTGCGCTGGGTGACGCGGGTTCGACTCCAAGACGGGATGTCAGCTCCCTTGATTTTGCAGATATGCCTTACTGATGACTCTTGGCAAGCACAAAATCTAAGTTAAACAGGCCTTCCTGGCGATTTCCTCCAACCAGCTAACCTCCGCATTATTGTTTTATTGTCACTATCCAATTATTGTATACAGAGCAAATTATCGAAACACAATCTGTCATTTATAAATTTCCCGTTTAAATATGCTGAATTTCTATGTTTTTTCAATAACTATCGTGTTCAGTATATTTTGTTTTTATTCATGTCTAATCTATTCCTGTTATAGATGTAACCCTCCGTTTTCACCTTCCACTTTGTTAATTTCTTAGCTAATTTCTGATCATTGAATGGCTTGTTGACTCTTTTATTATTGTTGACCTCTTTTACTCTAATTTCTTCTTCTCCTCTATTGTTTTTTTTATGTATCAACTTACAGATGAAGTATTCTTTACATGCAGTATAACTAAATCTTATCGGTTAGAAAATGATAGCCGCTATCAATTTCTTTCTATAAAATGGCCCGAGAATCAAGTGAATATTAATATTCCAATTGGACATCATGTAAATGTTCGTTTAAAAGATTCTCAAGGTTTGTTCATTTGTATATAATGTATGTCAGTTGGATATTATTCTTAATTTTTTGTTATTGCTTTCAGTGTTTGCGAATGTAATCCTACTGAAAATCCATGAGAAAGGATGGGGGGGGGAGTCATGGGTGCACACTACTGGAGATATCCGTGCTAGGGTGAAACAGCCGTGCAGTGCTATCAGGTTTTAGGTCACTCTCCAACCAATATCAGTCCATCTTTTACAACAGCAATAGCTTTATTCGAAACAAGACTTGTGGTACAGTATGGGATTCTCAGCACTTAATAGTTCAACAAATTAATTCCCTGTACAATACCTTAAGGTGAAATAATCATTCTATATGAATAGTGTTAATAATAACAGTTTTAAAAACCCACAATATGAAAAAACCACCTAGTATTGCACTACCATCTGGTTTGAACTGATTATTGAATCGAATATCGAGCGTAATTTTTGAGGTGATTGTTTATTCAGTCAGTGTCGGAGTCTGCAGTTCGACATAGTTATCCAAGGAATAGTAAGATACATCGTTTCCATCTTTTACATGAGTATCGTTTATTCTCTGTTTTGTTATTAGCCTAAAATATACCCGTTTGAAACCGTTTTGAAAGTGTTCAAGAATAATTCACATGTTTAAAAGACATATTTAAAAGATTCAAACAGGTTGAAACGGAAGAATTCGATGAAAAATAAATTCGGTGGGAAATCGTCGATAGCCCAAAGTTTAAGGAGTCTGTCAGTGTGTGAGTTTACCAACCTAAAATGGAATTAAAATCTACTACAGTGCCCAAGTTTTACCCATATTTTATTCCTCCTCGACACAGATTACACACCAGAGACCGATTCGTGTTATTAATCCAGTCTTCTAGGAGGTCATTCATTGCTTGAAGGGCTTGCTGGTGAAGTCTCTAATTTCAACACCGACTGAAGAGTCATTGATACAGCTTGAGTTTCCTCATCGTTACAGATATGCCTTGTTGCTGAATACCAACAAGCGCGAAACCTACATCCAAGGCTTCCTGTCCAAGGACTTCTAGTATCTGACATCACAAAGATAGATTCAATATTTTCGAACTAATTGGTTTTTACATTGACTCCAAAACTACTGAGAAATGTCAATAAGTTAGTAAGCTAAAAAGCCTACTCTCTCAGGCACCTTATAATTATTATGAGGTCAAGGACGTAGGCCAAATTAGGCTGGCAGTGATAGTCAGGATAACAAAGCCTAAAACTTTAGCGAAACACTGACTGATAAATCCTACTATGAGAAGCAGTCTGTAGGAAAGTTTAGGTGTCTCTATGAGTACACTGACTAGTAATCACAGCGTAAGGTTAGATAGGTTTGCAATTCTACGGTGTGATATAGCAAGGGGGAGGACGAGATGGAATACGGAATCTTTATTTGTCTAATAAACGCTTAACATATTCAAGAGCTATGATCAATCACACATTGCAGACAGGTGAAAGAATCAAGAAGTTCTGAATTATGAAGATATACAAAGTAAGCTTCAGGTGTGGATTATCTATGCTTTCGTCATATTATCTGTTTGAATTTTGTAGGAACATTCTGAATAATATTCCAAGAAAAGGTGAATGTCTTGAGTTTATAAGATACTAAACAACCTTTCTCTTTATAAGTTGGGTAGTATTTGTGAGCCATACGCTTACAAAATCATAGCATTAGATTGATTTACATTGGAGTTACATGAAAGAGTGAAAATTAGATTTTCTACTTATGTTCAGGCTAATTTCAGTTTAACCTTTAATTGACTGGGTGTTTGGGGTTTTTTATCGAAGAATGTGTTCATCGTGGTTTTATTCTTAAAGCATAACACCTGATACAGGAAGTGAGTTTGCCAAAATATATGTCTTCCTTTCGAACATTTCTCAAAGTAATAGTGCATCACTGTGGGCTGTTATCTCCTTTACGCGATGTCTGCTCACCTCTAAACATGTTTCCTGTGGAATGAATTTTAATGAACTTGGTCTTTCGATTGCCAGCAAGTCTTCCTTGGGCTGAAGTCAGCGCACTTCCACCGGAAGCTTCCTATCGTCGTCACCACAGATGCTTCATTCTGTAGAGTGTAAGTAGTTGTTTCTCATGAATTTCCAGACGTCTTGGAATAATTGATCATACTTGCTGAGAAAACCCTGACAACTCCTGAAAGTTATGCACAATTAGATGAAGAAGCGCTGCTACTAGTATCTGCAGTCAGAAATTCCATAGTAAGCCATATGGTTGTAATTTATGGTCACTAACCTACCAAGTCCCTCTACTAACAACTGTTAGCTCTATAATAAGTTTTCTATCATATTCAACCAGTGGATTTCAGAGGTGGGTGATTGTCTTACCAAATTACAACTTCATCATCCATCATAGTCTAGTCCCACATAAAAGAGGTCAGTTAAACTGAAGCGTTATCCCGCTTAGTCACCTTCCAGTGTCTGAAATGAAACTTCCGATCATAGCTACTGGCTCCTTCATCTCATCAGTTTGTTGTAGCCTACTTGTTGCATTTCGAACCCTTCAAACTGCTGCAGTACTGGTAAGAAAAATGTACATACAACGATCCTTACTGCAATCAGTTATTAATTTTATCAGTGATTGATGACCGCTAAACAATGGAACTAGTAAAGCTATTTAGGTTATGAGACAACCTTTCTGTCATTGATTCATGCTTCATTTTCGCGTATGGCATGGTTGTTCCACCGTCTTTTCTACTAGTCATACTCCAAAAATACCTTTAGAAAAACTTTGTTTACGCATGGATTTTCGAGGTGGAGATGAAAAACTTTTTTCTTAAGGATATATCTACAGTATTGTATAACCATCGTCTACTCTATCTATCATTGCGTTATAATCATTCACTGTTAAGTGTTTATATCTGGCTTGTATCTTATATTTCTTTATATCATTTAGGCAATTATGTTATCAGACCATATACACCTGTATGTGAAGATCTAACCTTCTCAACAAACAATAATGATTATCAGAATGATGACAAGAAGTTATGCCTACTGATTAAAATATACCCAGATGGAGAGTTTTCTTCTCTAGTGGATAAAATTTCTGAAAGTAAGTGTTTAATTCCTATCTCTTCAACCAGTATTCACATATTGTTTACAAGTTGGTTTTTGAGTAATTTTTGGAGGGTTTCTATTTAAAGAGTTTTGTGTTCAAATAAACTTGTTACCCAAAATACACATAAAGTCAAGTATGACCTATTGCATGTTTGACAGAAAATCTAAGCATACCCTTTTAAGTTTCTTTATTATCACGGGATCTTGGATCATGCTTATTTCAAAAAATATAGTCTAGTATTCGTTATCGTTGGTGCTGGGAATGTTTCAGCAACTCCATAGTCGACATCTTAGATGGTGCTCTATTCATTAGTAACTGTCGTGTTTATATCCAACTTTACGATAATTTTTTTCAATTAATGTAACTGGAAACTGATTACTGTGGTATAGATGTAATGTTTAACGGCTTCAAACGTTACCCACTAATGATGATACTACCGAGTGCAAGTCGTAATCTCTGAATACAGTTGTTGGTAGTTATAAATCTTGATCAGTAAGTCGCAAATACATTTCGTATAACTTATATTGAATTACGAAGTCACTTAGCAAGGTAGGTCTATCGACTACTGAAGCTCTGAATGTGTAGCCTAGTGTTGTATGTTGACGATAACTGGATTCTGTCTAAAAGAAACTGCTTAGAATACATTCTATACGAGGACATATTCCGGCCTGGTTTTATAAGGGTCAAAGGAAATGCATTAGAAGTTATATCTTTGAGCATTTAATCGATTCCAACGATTCAGTGGACCCAGACAGTGATTTCAAGGTTGTCTATCCAATTCGCCCTAACACCTCACGTTTCCTCCACATTCAGCTTCTAAAAACAGCAGAGACCTTGGCTATCCATGAACTGAAGCTTGACCTTTGTGTGCAAAAGTAGTACATACAGTCTTTTTCTCTACCTTGGCCCTCATTTATTTTAGTCTTGATGCGTTTCGTCCTCTTTTATCTTCTTCCCCCCCCTCCCCCCCCCATTATATCCTCATTATCACTCTGTTTTTTACATTTATTCATTATTTCATTTGATCTTCCTAATAATCGCAACCTTTAACAAAACATTTCCAATTTATTCCAATTAACTTGTCTCACTTATATTACCTAATCCTTTGATTGTTTATTAACGATCTCACTCCTTTTTAATCTATATGCAATTACAAACGATTTGAAAATCTTACGTAACCCCTTTTTGTTATCATTCGGTCGTTACACCAACTACCAACCTTATTATTAGCACCACAATTGTTATTGCTGCAACCCCTATTATTTCAGTTGAAGCTTTCTCACGGATTATATATATATATATATATATATAAACAATATTATTATTTGTCCCTTAGGTTCATAGTGGAACATAGGGCTTCAGTAGCACGTCTCCATTCCACTCTCTTCTCTGCAATCTTTTAAACCTGGCTACACCACTGCCCACAAGCTCTCATTTCTTCTTCACACTATCTCCTCCATGCCACCTTCAGGTGCCCAACTCGTTGTTTCCCCTTTGGATTCCACTCAAGTGCCTGGCGTGTGATGTCCCCGAACGGTCTTCCTAGTGCATGCCCAATCCATCTTCACTTCCTTCTGCATATTTTTTGAATGATAGGTTCTTGGTTGGTTCGTTCCCAGAGTTCCTTGTTGCTGATTCTATCCGGCCATCCGATCTTCAGTAGCGAGCCTAGGCAGTTGTTGATGAATATCTGTAGTTTGTTGGAAATCCCTTTCTTAACCCGCCAAGTCTCTGAGCCATACAGGAGCACTGACTTGACTGACGTTGGTGTTGAAAATCCGCATCTTGTTCCACATGCTGAGTGCAGTGTAGAAGATATCCACACTGGTTTCAGGTTAATGAACGCCTCTCTTGCTTTTCCCATCTTGGTTGGCTTTGACATCCTCAGCTGTGCCACCTGTAATTGAAAGGATGCTGCCTAGATAGGTGAAGGAGGCTACTTCATTTGAGTTTCTCCCGTTGATGGTGATTGGAGCTTATTGTTGCTGTTGTTGTTGGTTGGGTATCTTCATCACCTCTACCTCTGTCTTCTCTATATTCACTTGAAGTCCCGTCTTCACTACCCTGCCCTACCTCTTCTGTCAACTTGTTAGTTTTCGCCTGTAGATATGCAAGTTTATGTGACATTAGACACAAGTCATCGTTGGCGAAATCCAAATCTTCTTCCCGAGTCTTTTCCACAGTCCAGTGTATCCCCCTCTTCTCACAGCTCCCCACTGCTTGTTGCATGATCCAGTCCACTACAACACAATCAGGAATATCATGGGTGACAGTAGGTGGCAGCCTTGTTTCACTCCTGTCTTCACTTCAAAGCATCACTGAGCTGAGCTTCCCATTGTGAACTACTTGGCATGTGGCGTCTTCGGATATATATATATATATATATATATATATATATATATATATATATATATATATATATATATATCCGAAGACAAGTTATCAGCATATTTGATATATTAGTCGAAGATAACAGATCCTATAGCAAAAAAAAGAAAAGACAGCACCCCGGGGAACACTGATATGGAGCGCTTTTCTCTGTGAACTGTATATTTTTTCCTTTCAGAGAAATACTAATACAACCAGCTGATTATTCAAGACTCAGTATATATCTGTTACCTTATCCAGCAAAAGAGATCTGGGCGTAGAATCAAGCGCAGAAGTACGATGTAAAATGGTACACCTGATATACTTGATATTTCCATCAAGATTATCATCAATATTAAGAAGTAGGACACTAATGGTATCCAAATTTTTTCTTTTTCTTTTCTATGAAAATTGATTAAGATCTCCAAGAACTTTCAATGAAGGTTTAAGCAAAGGTATTATTAGCTTTTCTATTATTTTCAAGAATAGAGCAGTAACTGCAAAATACACGTGGAGTCCTCAAATTAGGCAGTGGGACTATCTGTATATTTTTTCAGCCAGCTAGTTTGATGTTTCCTGAGAACGATCTATTAAAATCGTTGGTTAATGGATGGTATATTTTGATCAGATAGTGCAAATGAGATTGTAAACATAGTTTTTGATATTGCTTATTTCTAAAATAGTATCGTAAGACATATTCTAACTTGTTCACAAAGTTCCCTTTTTAGTGTCATCCATCATACTTCCGGGTTCAAACATCATGCGGACTTTCCATGTCCCCACGTTTACTTTCGCTTTCATCGAGAGAAGACACATCGGCCAATTGGCTTCCCGAAGGCAGGCTTTCACAAACTGGCATCATTTCGCCTCTCCGATTCCAGCGAGGAATAATTTTGTTTTTATTTTTTATATTTTGTTTGTGCTTTGAAGTTTCTTTAGCGGTTAGATTTGTTTTATGGGGTAGGGTTGCTAGCCCTATGCCCAACCTTCCCTGTTTACCCGGGCTTAGGACCGGGTAGTAACTAGTGAACTAGTTAACCAGGCGAGGTTAAGTGCTTGGTGGAGATGCCACATGCCAAGTAATTCACAATGGGAAGCTCAGTGATGCTTTCGAAGTGAAGACAGGAGTGAAACAAGGTTGCCTACTATCCCCCATGATATTCTTGATTGTGGTGGACTGGATCATGCAGCAAACAGTGGGGAGCGAGAAGAGGGGGATACGCTGGCTGGACTGCGGAAAAGAACTTAGAAGACTTGGATTTCGCCAACGATGACTTGTGTCTGATGTCACATAAACTTGCATATCTACAGGCGAAAACTAACAAGTTGACAGAAGAGGCAGGTTAGGGTAGCGAAGACGGGACTTCAAGTGAATATAGAGAAGACACAAGTGATGAAGATACCGCACCACCACCATCAACAACAACAACAAACTCCAATCACCGTCAACGGAGAAACTTAAAGGAAGTAACCACCTTCACCTATCTAGGAATCACCGTTTCAACTACAGGCGGGACGGACGAGGACGTCAAAGTCAGAATTGGAAAAGCAAGACAGGCGTTCATTAGCCTGAAACCAGTGTGGGGATCTTCTGCACTCAGCATGTGGAACAAGATGCGGATTTTCAACACCAACAGCAAGTCAGTGCTTCTATGTGATGGTTGAGAGACTTGGCGGGTTACGAAAGGGATTTCCAATAAACTACAGACATTCATCAACAACTGCTTACGCTTGTTACTGAAAATCAGATGTCCAGAAAGAATAAGCAACAAGGAACTCTGGGAACGAACCAACCAAGAACCTATCATTCAACAAATATGCAGAAGGAAGTGAAGATGGATTGGGCATGCACTGAGAAGGCCGACTGAGGACATCACGCGTCAGGCCAGTTGCTCGAGTGGAATCCCCATGGGAAGCGACGAGTTGGACGTCCGAGGGTGACATGGAGGAGGTCGTGTGAGGAGGAAATGAGAGGTTGTGGGCTGTCGTGGAACCAGGTTCAAAAGATCTCAGAGAAGAGAGTGGAATGGAGACGTGCTACTGAAGCCCTATGTTCCACTAGGAACACAAGGGACTAATAATAAAAATAATAATCATACTTCCAGGGAATTATTCAACACTCTTTGAGTTACTATGAGTGTAAGCATACTTTATGCCCTGGTTATTTATCTTATAAATGTACCATTGAAAATATCTACCTGAGCGAAAGTTATCATGGTGTGCCGAACTGCTTTTTCATCAGTTTCTTTAATCTTAATATAATTAGTTAACAATACATAAAGTGCGATATTATTGCCTATTCTATTACTATAAAATAACTGTTTCTAATGTTATAATAATATTAATTTAGCTAATATTTACTTTATTAGATGATTTACTCGATGTGAGTCTGCCTATGGGGAATTTCAATATCAATCTCATCAAACAAATCATTGACGCTAATTCAAAATCATCTGAAGAATTTAATAATCCCACTTCATCATATCTTATCATGTTGGCTGCAGGAAGTGGAATAACTCCAATGCTAAGAATTTTACATTACCTATTTGTTGGGAATGAGAATGTAAATAATAATCAAGTTATGCGAATGTTCAAAGTTTATTTGATTTATTTCAATCGTAGTCAGAAGGATCAAGTACTTGTCTCTACTTTTGAATCACTTCACAATCGTTTTCCGGATAGGTAAGTTGGAGATTATTATTATTATTATCATCATCATTATTTGTCCCTTAGGTTCTTAGTGGAACATACGAATTCAGTAGCACGTCATCATTTCACTCTCTTCTCTCCAGTCTTCACTTTCAACCTGGCTCCACAACTCCCCACAAGCCCTCATCTCATCCTCACACCATCTCCTCCATATCACCCTCGCCTCAGATGCCCAACTCCTCGTTTCCCATTTGAGTTCCACTCGACGGCCTGGCCTGACGCGTCATGTCCCCAAACCGTATTCTCAGTGAATCCCCAATCCAATCCAATCCAATCCATCTCCACTTTCTTCTTCCGCATTTTTGTTGGGTGATAAGTTCTTGGTTGGTTGGTTGCCAGCCAGTCAGTCAGCCAGCCAGCCAGAGTTCCTTGTTGCTTATTCTTATTATTCTGGCCATCTAGTCGTCAGTGTCAGTATCGATTGAGTGTAGGTGGTAGCTGTTCTTATATATGTCTGTAGTTTGTTGGAAGTGCTTTCCGTAACGCGCCACCATGTCTCTCAACCATCACATGGAAGCACTGACTTGACTGGCATTGGTGTTGGATCTTGTTGTTTATGCTGATTGTGTTGCAGTAGATGTCTACACTGATTGTTTCAGATTAATGCAGGAAGGCCTGTCTTGCTGTTTTCCTGTTCCTGGCTTTCACATCCTTATCTGTGTGTGCCGCCTGTAGTTGAAAAGATACTTTCTAGGTAGGCAGGTAGGTGAAGGAGACAACTTTCTTTCTATTTCTCCCGTTGATGGTGGTGTCTGTGGCTTATTGTTCTATTTAATACATTATGGTATGCAACAAAATAAGCAACCATAATTTAAATCAGGAATACACGCTAAAATTTAGAGAACAGTGCACATTTCTCCTATTTCTTCATGGATTTGAATTAAGACTTCTAGGTTTCAAAAAGCTTGGATGGTAACGTCGAAGTTCATATACGTTTCATGAGTATTCATGAGGGGGATAACTGTTTATTGCTCTTCAGTCCTTAATATTGTAACCTATGATGTTTTTTAACCGCAAACTATTCGATGGACCGTACGAATACTACTGCACGAAGAATGAACATGTTGTTGAATGATTTGTGTAAATATATCAAGTCTGTCTCTAAATTATGGAGTTACCTGATATGAATATGGACAAGATATTGTGTCCGAAGCGTTATCCAATAAATGCTACTGTTTCACTGTGTGATATTTCTAATAAACAAAATTACAATCGACCACAGCTCCCAAATTTTACTCTTATATTTTGATCTCTTTGTTTTACTATAACCATTCTTCATGGTGTTAAGGTGTGGCTCATTGGTCTAGGCATTTTCTTTGCAACCGATGGTTTTTGGGTTCAAACTTGGATCCACCTACCGAGCTTTAGAGAGCCAGATAGGTGGTACTATCATTAGCCCTAACATAATGAATGTGACTTATTGCCTACTGTACTATGAATTTCTGTTTGGATCATTCTTAATTAAATTGTTTCATTTCGACTTTGTTCAAATTATATAAGTACTCTGTAGTAGAGCTGACGTTGGACATGGTTTAGGTTGTTGTGGATTCATTTACAGAGAATATTCATTCGGCAGGTGAATTCAGCCTTATGGTTACTATATGATGCATTCAAAAGAACGACTAGTACAAACATTGATCATGTTGACTAGCAGAGGAATCCAGGACGCGCATTTCGTCCTGTTTGGGACTCGTCAGCTGGATGTACGTTCACCCCAGTGGGTGATGTTGTTCCCACTGAGACTCCAACCTAGTACCCTTCTCTCCAAACGCCAAACGCATTATCCACTGGGGCGAGGCAACATATTCATCCAGCTGGCGAGTCCCAAATATGACGAAACGCGCGTCCTGGATTTCTCTTCTAGTCACCAAGATCAATGTAGCATCATGAATATCTGGCAGTATCGAGAGATCCGCAGAGGAGCCCATCTGCTAACAGAGGTAGAATAATTCCGGCCCTGTATAGCAATGGGAAATTATAAGTATCTTTGCAACTAGTACAAACATGTTAGAGCTGTTTTCCTGACAACTATTGTGAGTTTGATTACTTTACATTTTTCTTCCTGGCCAGTAAAATCTACATCTTAAGATTTGTATACCTATGAAATTTAAAGGCGGTTGGTTCATTGATTTGTCGACTGTCGATACAAGTACCCTCTCCTCGTCTTCTCAAATTCTTTGAGAACAAATCTTCTGCTTAGAGATCTCTTGACCAACTTAAATTTGTCAGGTTGGTATTCATTGTGTACTGACACCACTCGGAGAAACACAGGAAACCTGAGAGTGCTGGAGAGCTGGTTCGTCATAGTATGGCACTCCCGCAAAAGTGTGCACCTGTGACCCCACCAGGGATCGAACCCAGAAACTTCGGGTTCCTAGGCCAAGACGTTACTATTAAGCCACTGGATAAGAAGCCAATGGTCCATATTTCCTATTTCTGTCAATTTCTAACTCAGTGACTCAATGTTAGCGTTTTGACCGCTAGATCTGTAGGTCCTAGGTCTGATCCTTTATGGGCTCATGGGTGCACACTGCTGAGTAGTCCCATACCAGGACGAAACAGCTGTTTAATACTACCAGGTTTCCATGGTTCCTCCAACTGATGTCAGTCTATGATGAATACCAATCTGATATCCATCAATAAATCTCAAAACTGAGATGAATTTTTCGGACGGTTTACTTTTGCTAAGTTGAAACACTGAGTAAAAAACCTATGACTAAAGACTCGTGTTCCTAAGAGTATTGCTAACGTATTTGTCTGCCATGATCCTAATCTGTAGATCTGATCACAGGAATTCGATTCATTTTATTCGTTTTCATTCCAAAGTCAGTTTACTGTATTCCACTTTGTGGAGTTGTAGCTCATTGGCCTAAGGGTTCGGCTTTTATTTAACGGGTCGCAGATTTGAACACCTCTCCATCTACCGAGGTTTGATCAATTAGGTGGTATTACTAGCTCTCACGAAATAGGTGGGATTTTTTTGCCTACGGTATGAATGTACCCAGGGTTTCTGAATGGATTTCGACATCCAACTATATTTGTTTTCCCTCAGTTTCTGTAATAGTCTTGATTTATGAACAAAGTTTGAAACTTTAGAGATCTGGTTTCAGACGGCCCATTTTAATCCATGTAGTTATTCTAAATAACATTTTTGAGGAGAAACTGTTATTCCACCAGGAAGTAGAACTTGCATACTGTGGTAGTGTGTATTTGTGCTTGGTTCCATACTAATTTGTTCATTTCATATATCATGCAAGGAAATGGTATTTACTTACTGGATGGCGTGTCGAACACAATTGTTTAATCATAGTTGTATTAAAAGTTGGATGTAGTAATCCCAGGTATTATGGTGATGATAGTTGTTTATTTTTTTTTGTATTTGATATCAGCATTTGGTTAAGCCGCTTCTACTTTGTTGTTTCAAATTACGATGACTTATGTTTTTGTGCTACTTTTCTAGGTTTTACCTTTTTTTCATTCATTCATTCTCTCACTCATTCAGATAATCGGTCATGCTGGTTAACGAGAATATTTTGTTCAGTATCATTGGGTCTTTCTTTGCATTTCTTTGGCCTTTAAACGCTTCCGCTTACATTGATTGGTTATCCATTCCACAAATGCTGACCTAATTCTGTTGATCTTTTCACCATGTGGTCATCAAGCTAGGATACCAAAATGGTGGAGCACTTTGAATAATGTTAGTTGTTTGGAAGCACTTGATAGAAATCCCTCAACCTAGAGTTCACGCTTGTTGGTACTCGGCAGCGTAGCATAATTGCAATCGTAAGGGAGCTGATGCCTCATCAAGGGTCTGAACCCACGTCACTCAGTATTGTAGTCAAAGACTTAACCAGTGAGCTATGCGGGCTGTGATCAATTTACTGTATGACTAGATTACATGCATCAATACATGCTGAAGGGTCCCTACAGGCACGAAACCTAGGTCAAACAGGTGTTCCTATCGATTGCCTACATCCAACCAACACTTTGTTGACATTTTGCTTCGTCTTCTGTCGACTGCATAAAACTTCTTTTCCGATTATTGTAATTTCAACCAACTCTTCTATTCAATCTACCAACTGCGTCTTCATTAAAGCTTGTCTACTGCTTACCAGATATTTTCATTCCTTATTATCAAATCTTACACTTCACAGTCATCAAAAATCTTTTCATTCGTTTATTTCACCTCATTCCATTCTTGTTAACTGATAGAAAGGAAGAGTTTTGTTTAATTACACATGGATGAATTAATTTAAGGAACTGTATATTCAGGGTCTCTATGCTAGTGGCTATAGTGGAGTGATGAATAGTTCTGCATAATCTCTCTCTCTCTCTCTCTCCAATCATATGACATCCGAGAGTTCAGCTGATTGGCATTCGAATTCAGTGATTATTCTTCTGCTTCATTTGCCTATTGTCTTCTTAACTGTAATAGTGTTGAAATCATTGGATAAGGATTTAGCTGCGATTTTGTTGCTTTTTAGTGTGTCATTTTTACTATCGATACTGGGTAATGATTGAAGATGAAAAGAAAATTTGGACCAGTAAAATTCAAAACGGTGACTTCCCACTTCTATCACCTAATGAGTAGGCCTCTTAGTTCAGCTAATGGAGCGCTGGGTCACGAAGAGATGGAAACAATGTCTTGAAACAAGACTGGAAACTTACAAATGGCTAGTTGTATAATGCCTCAATCCATAGCAGAGTGAATTGGAAGACAAAATAGTCAAAAGTTTAGAGTTACTACTTACTAAATAATGAGTACTATAAAATTGAAGACATAAAAGATTACGACGAGATGAAGGTAACTACAGCTTTTGAAAATGTTCTTAGGATCTTCTGGTGGCTCATGGTTATTCAAAGCTGTACAACTTATTCATTGTTTTATTTAAATGCTGTTTTGTGAAGTGTTTTATCCTTCACCTGGTATTCTTATTTTAAATTTAAGAGTCCAAAATAGGAGAGAAGTAGACAAGATGATATTCTTTTTTGTGATCTTGCATGAAGATATTCAGTTGACATTTTGTAGCGTTAAAATCTCCTGTCGATTAGTGCTTACTCTGAAGAATACTTTTGTGAAAGATGCTTCTCACATAAATTGAAAAAAACCAAACCTTTTTTGGCTTTAAATCCCCTAACTGCGTAATACTTTGTGGTTTTTTGGTTGTATTTCAAGAAATTTTGACTAATTTTTCTCATTCTTCTTAACAAGGGGCAATAACATTTTTGTATTATTAAGTGAAAAAACTTTCCATTTTACGTCCACAGGTTTTTCACAACTCATGTTTTATCTGAGCCATCATATCCTTCGGAAGATGAAAATAACAGTAATAATGGTAATAATAATTGGGTACATGGGCAGATAACTGATGAGCTTTGTCGTCAATCCCTCGGAGGTGAAATCATAAAAAATTTCGATTCTAATGTGACATGCTTAATCTGTGGTCCATCTGGTTTCAATGATGCTGCTCTAGAGTGAGTACTTATGCTATTTATTTGTATTGACTTTCAATAAAGCTTTTTTGGACCACTGAGTAAACTCGTTTATTGAACAGTCTCTAGGAATTTATACAAATCAAATTGAAACGCTATGCATCATCATAGAACAGAGCATAAAATGGCAGTCAAATCTTTATCTCAACTTCATTGAATTCGAAAAAGCCTGCTTCAACACGGAGTACCCCAAACCTTTATCAACCTCATTCAACAGATATATGAAGATGCTACATACCAAGGGATTCACAATGAAAAGGTCAGTGACGCCTTTGAAGTAAAGACAGGAGTAACACAAGATTACCTACTATCACCGATGGTCTTCCTGATAGTGGTCGACTGGACTCGACTGGACTCGGCTGGATCATGCGACAAACTGTGAGGAGCGAGAAGATGGGCATGAGCTGTTTGACCGATGAAAAGAGCCTAGAATATTCGGATTTCGTCAATGATCGTTTATTTCTAGTGTCGCACAAGCTCGAAAATTTACATGCGAAAATTAGCAAGTTGACAAAAGAAGCAGGGCAGCGAAGACACGATATCAGGTGAATTCAGAGAAGACGGAGGTGATGAAGATACCCAAACAACAAGAAGCACCAATCACCATCAACGGGAGAAATAGAAAGAAAGTTGTCTCCTTCACCTACCTGCCTACCTAGAAAGTATCTTTTCAACTACAGGCGGCACACACAGATAAGGATGTGAAAGCCAGGAACAGGAAAACAGCAAGACAGGCCTTCCTGCATTAATCTGAAACAATCAGTGTAGACATCTACTGCAACACAATCAGCATAAACAACAAGATCCAACACCAATGCCAGTCAAGTCAGTGCTTCCATGTGATGGTTGAGAGACATGGTGGCGCGTTACGGAAAGCACTTCCAACAAACTACAGACATATATAAGAACAGCTACCACCTACACTCAATCGATACTGACACTGACGACTAGATGGCCAGAATAATAAGAATAAGCAACAAGGAACTCTGGCTGGCTGGCTGACTGACTGGCTGGCAACCAACCAACCAAGAACTTATCACCCAACAAAAATGCGGAAGAAGAAAGTGGAGATGGATTGGATTGGATTGGATTGGAGATTCACTGAGAATGCGGTTTGGGGACATGACGCATCAGGCCAGGCCGTCGAGTGGAACTCGAATGCGGCACGAGGAGTTGGGCATCTGAGGCGAGGATGATATGGAGGAGATGGTGTGAGGATGAGATGAGGGCTTGTGGAGCCAGGTTGAAAGTGAAGACTGGAGAGAAGATAGTGAAATGGTGACGTGCTATTGAATTCGTATGTTCCACTAAGAACCTAAGGAACAAATAATAATAATACTAAGTTGAATTTACACTCGACAGTATCTCATTAAGTTTTCAGACTGTTCAACAGTATATGTATATCTGTAACGCGTCTTTGCGATAACCTTTAGTTGTTTCATGAGCATATCTGCCTTGAAACTACAGAACATATTCTTATTACTTTTGACATTTCCAACTTTTGTGTAGCTTTTAAATTAGTAGTAGGAAGTGTTTTCTAGTGTTGTAGTCACCTTTATGTGTACACTAGATAAAGCTCTCGCTTATTCAGGCTTTCTACAAATGTTTCATATGAGTTTAATATCAATTGAAACTGTTCTTTATGGTGTAGTTCTCCTTTCCCTGGCCATTATTCAACTATGAAATGCATCTGCGAAGAACTGCTGGAATTTATGTAGTGAAAATATTTTCATTGTTTTAATAGAAGACACTAGCAACATCGAAATGTATGCAGAACACAACCGTTTATGTACATTTGAAATGGCCTTGCCTTGAAGCGCATATCTTATTGATTTTATTTTTTTCAACTAATCTAGTATTCTGATATTTACACGTATGTTCACATGTCCTTTTCTTGAAATTTCGGAGTATGGAGATTGATTGTTAAGGATTTCAGAGAGAAGAATCTCGACAATCTTATTACACGCCATGAAAAAGTTTCTGTGCGAAGTAGAATAATGGTACGCTTGGATTTATTGTTAACTTTTGGACACAGCGTATTAGAATATTTTTTGATACCTCTGTCTTAGGTGCATATTCCGGCCATCTGATTTCCAACCATTAAATTATGCAGTGATCCGAAGAAATAGTCAGCATTTCTAGCGAAAGCACTTGATGAACGTTCTCCTTCCCTTTTCAAAAGACAACAATGAAATGTATCACACACTTTCAGTTTCAGACAAGATTCAGTGGGGTGTATAGTAGCTTGATATTGTGTATCCATTTTTAGCTCAAACGATCTAGCAGTGGTTATTTCGCCTGACGAAATAATCCCTTGTTTGATACATTTCCATAGTAAACATCACAGTGTATTTCCGTGTTATTGTGCAACGCACTGCCTGGTTCACTGTGAATGACCTGATAATTTGATTGGGCTTCGGCGTTTTCCACTCTCCGACTAATATGATTTCTGAAGTGTTTGCTTGTGATACTTATAACTTACCGTAGATATACAGGGTCTAATTGCGGGACCTCTGTTAGCAGATGGGCTCCCACGTAGAGGCCCTGATGCTACCTGCTTACTCATTATGCTGACGTCTTTTTGTTTCCTAGCAACGGAATCCTAAACGGGAGTTTCGTCCTAAATGGGACTCGTCAGCTGGATATACTTGCACTCCAGTGAGTGGTGTTATTGCCAATGTCCTTCATTAAATGTGTATTTGCTGTCGTCAACAGTTGAACTTGCAGTAATCCTCTTTATAGGTTTTACATGAAGACTTACCGCCTTAATAATGTTTAAAAGTGATGGATTTCATAAGCCACTATGTTGCAAACTCATGGAATATGGTTCAGCGTTTTCTAACTAATTTAATGCTGTCTGGTTCTAAATGCTGATCAAATTTAGATCTTTGAGGGAACATTGATTCTTTCAAGGTTCTGAAAAAGTCTTGCTGATGAACACAAAGAAGTATTAAATTTGATTGAAACAGCGTTGTCTATCCATTAATTCTTGGTATTTACCACTACAAATTTAATATACCGCTAGTAGGATGTCTTTTCCTTTTATAATTTCTTTCTTTCTTTAAATAAAGTTACATATTTATGCGATTGTTTTCATTTAATTAAATTGTAGACTCACAGAAAAATGGTCCATTCCTAAAGAACGTGTTCATGTATTCAAAGGATAAATTTCTATCTCATGAATGTAAAAATTATGCTCAACTTTTCCTTATGTAAAGTCTATACAAAATTAATAACTTCTAAATATTTATGCCTATAATACTCTTAACGTATAGTATATGCTTAGTGCCTTTTTATTCCGTGAATATATCCTCTGAGTTTACTTTAATTTCAGTATACTACTAAGAATGATTTCATTTCAGCTATACTTAGAATATATGCATCAAAGTAGAGCCTTTATATCTGAATATCAGACACTAGAGACTTTAACAACTGGTAACATATTCAGACACTGTAATCTTCATATATGTCGAAAAGTAAGATTACAGTAGTGTTGGGTTTGTATGCATAACCCAAGATTTGTTCATATGGATGAACATGTGTTTGGAATCCTAAGATGTCTAAGAACATATTTTAGTATTAGTCACAGTTTTTGAGATTATTCATCTAGACTAAAGGAGGTTAGAGGTATGCATGGCATTGATAGAAATCCTAGAATGCAAAAAGATGTAGTGTTCTTATAATATAAAATTACATACCAGTCTAGTGGCCATAAATGTTTTATATCAGGTAATTCATCTCAAAGTATCAAGGGGGTGATAATTAATCAAGGTAATTAAAACTAGCTAAAGTATAGACTAACTACTTTTAACCAGGTTATTGCATAATTGGTAGTTTGTGTAATCGTACCTAAGATGAAGAGAAAAGAAAACGAATTATTATGTCAAGTGGACAATTGTTAAGGGGAATTAGAGACAATAGGCGAAGAACGAGATGAATAAAACCATATAATAATAATAATAATAATAATAATAATAATAATAATAATAATAATAATAATGACAATCATTGCAAACGTTTGAGGGTGAATGAATGGAGATATGATGTTTTTTACAAATAATCTATGCAGATAGCCAAGGCAGAGAAAGAGGCTGTACGAATTTCTTTTATACATAGACTGCTTGCTCAAATGGGTTCCGATAGCTTCTGCTGTATGTAAAAAATAAACTCTTAGTACATGGATGAGATTAGAATAAACATGATAAGCAACTTTAAAGGTTTTGTGAATGTTAACTTGGTGACCAGTGTTAGATCAGATAAGAGAGTATTAAGGTCCGTATCGATCTTGTTTGCCCTTTACTTAACTGTGACGGATAATGTTCGGCGATTTAACGACAGACTTGCCTAACTGTACATCCAATGTAACTAGCTCCACAGGAGCAGTTGGACTGGTAAGTGCACATAGAAGAGGCGAAGTTAAGTAGTCTATCTTTGATTAGAGAAGTCGTCATCGCCTGACTGTACAATGCTTCTTGTTGGGATACCGATACTGCATGAGTAGCAGTAGTATTCATTCTATTTTTTGTCTTATCGATGACCCAATGTTACGCTCGTGAAAATGGTATTATTATTTATCCCTTGGGTTCCTAATGGAACATACGAATTCAGTAGCACGTCACCATTTCACTCTCTTCTCTCCAGTCTTCACTTTCAACCTCGCTCCACGACTCCCCACAAGCTCTCATCTCATCCTCACACCATCTCCTCCATGTCACCCACGCCTCGGATGCCCAACTCCTCGTTTCCCATTCGAGTTCCACTCGACGGCCTGGCCTGACGCGTCATGTCCCCAAACCGTATTCTCAGTGAATCCCCAATCCAATCCAATCCAATCCATCTCCACTTTCTTCTTCCGCATTTTTGTTGGGTGATAAGTTCTTGGTTGGTTAGTTGGTTGCCAGCCAGCCAGCCAACCAGCCAGAGTTCCTTGTTGCTTATTCTTATTATTCTGGCCATCTGGTCGTCAGTGTCAGTATCGATTGAGTGTAGGTGGTAGCTGTTCTTATATATGTCTGTAGTTTGTTGGAAGTGCTTTCCGTAACGCGCCACCATGTCTCTCAACCATCACATGGAAGCACTGACTTGATTGGCATTGGTGTTGGATCTTGTTGTTTATGCTGAGTGTGTTGCAGTAGATGTCTACACTGATTGTTTCGAATTAATGCAGGAAGGCCTGTCTTTCTTTCATGAAAATGGTATAAATTATAATTATTGAATAGATGCTGTGAAAAGGATCAAAATAAATAACTATTATTAAGAAAGAATGTAGAAGTGAGTTGCTCGCAATAGTTTTCATGAATGGTTATATATTTAAAACCCTTTGATGTTAAATATTTGCAGGAATTTCTTAGTTATATCTGTAAAGTATGTTGACAGCATCAAACAAAAATGTATTCGCTCCCTGAAATCCAAAAGAACAAAACATTTAGGACATAAATGAAACCTGATACTACGGGAATACTTTAGCATCCACTGTTTCTTTTCGAAGAAAGCGATTACATAATTATTGTTTACATAGGATAGTAGTCAGTTATCAGTACTAAGTGAACTCCAATCCACAGACTGTAGCATTCTTAAAATCTTTGATGTAACTAAGCCATTGGGTAGAGGCGATTGATGTACTACAGCTATACAGCACGTTTTTTATTGTTCGATGGCTTAAAATGCCACCTGGTTGTGTAGATTGAAATAAGTAGAGTGAAAGTCGAACAAGAGGATCAATCACTTCAAAGTCTGGAGGTTAGTCCAACAAACTTCATTTCCAAGTTGAAATGCAGTGGCACACTACGATATCTGATGATTAACTTGATGAAAATACATTACTAATCAAACCCTTTAAGTGCTACTTCTGGGTTATATTTGAATTTTTTTGATCTACATAGGTTGTTTCTAATCCTAGAGTTATTGAAAATTCTTGGTTACGTTCCCGAGGTGCCTGCTTTGTATGATGAGATTAGATTGGCATTCATACTTAGAAACAAACTTTGAAGGTTAGAAGATTTTGTTAATTTAATGGCGCAAATTAGTTTAGTTTGGAGGTTTGTGGGGATTCAACAGTTTCGAGGCGATATTCATCATGGACTGATATCAGTAGAAGAAACATTGAGGAATTGAGAGCACTGAACAGCTGTTCCATTTTGGCATGAGATTCCTCAGCAGTGCACACTCACAGTCCCTCCAGGGTTCAAACCAAGGATATTTTGCCACTAGTGCTACCATCAATCAATGCCACGTTTGGGTATTTGTTCTCACGTCCGACTTCGTTTACTTCACGGATTACGAATTACTTAGTTGTCTGAAAATCTCATCTCGAAGCATGAAATTGATGAAGACTGGATAGTCAAATTAGTTGATCTTTGTCATTTAGTGTATTCGAGCACAAAACATTAGCTAAATCAAGATTAGTAGGTCTTAATAAGATGAAGAATATACAGAAACGCTCTGTTATAGCTATGTATGTGATTGTACACGATAAGATGATAAATAACAGCAGTGTTTACAACTAATTTAGTAGGGTAGAGGGAAAGACTGATAAACGAATCATTCTTTATCGAATCAATAGCAGCACATATAACGGGCATGATTTTACACCTGTTCCAGGTATGGGTAAAATTCTACCACCTTTATCACAAAGAAGGAGAGTGAACTAGTACTATATGAAGCAGGTTTGAAAGTTGTGGAGTTACCTTATATGAGTATGGACAATAAATGATTTCCGAAACGTTATCCAGTAAACAATCATGTTTCATTGTGTGATGCATTCAATAAACCAGGATGGACTCATCGACTGAGGTGACTGGGACATCTGTTACGCATGCTTAATCACTGTCTCCCAATGTTGGCTGAATCAGGTTCAGGCTAAAACAAGATTGGATGTAGCCAGACCAAAACATAGTATCAGTCTTCATCTGTTGGTGTGAGCTGTGTAGGGAAATGTAAACCTACCAGTTGGAGTCTGTGTGACAACAGAAACCAGTCGTTTGGAGACTTGTTGCGATATGGTTGAGAACTTTTCAATTCAGGTCCAAGTTCCAGGCCAGACTTCGTCTTATATAGGGATCATTATCCAAAAATCTGTTGAACTGGTCTCCTCACTCAGTATGAAATATTGAAGTAAAGTTTCCATATGAGAGTGAACACTCGTACCATAGCATGGTGTTAATACTCTCGCAAACTGATCATTGTTATCCCAGAATCCTCCCAACTGTCAGGCTTCTATACATTCAGCGGAGGATCGATCGGTTTGTGACCGTGGGATACGTCTCACTGAGTCTACACAACCTTGCAGATCTAAGTACAGCTCAGCTTTCCGAAAGGACAATCCTCATATCACCATATTGATTCATAATAGAAGTCCTCTCTGGGCTACTGACTTACAGCTCAGGCTACAACTAAAGACATCGGCATTCCTAACCGAATATTGATCGCCTTCACGAGGTAAAACTACACCCGTCTCTGGAGATTGCTTCAACAACAACGACTACCAGAATTAGGAAGCTGGATTCACCTTACCTTTTGACTGCATTGCTCCCAGCGCTCTGCGTGGGAGCTTGACGGCTAACAAGACCATCCATGCTCTGGAGACTCGCACCACTAATGTTGCACACATGGATCTCGTCAACCGCGATTGCCGCTAAGTTAATCTTGACGGTATGTTGGCTGATATCCAACAGGCTCACCATATCAAATTAACTAGGCTCAACCCTAGGTGCACATACTATATTCAGCTTACACAGACCAGCAACACAAACCCAGCACAACTTAACGGCGCCGTGTAGAACTTCTTCACGTTAATGCCCTGGCACGTAACTATGGGGCTGGTTTATACTGTCTAGGGAATTATAGATACTCCTGAAGAGAATCGGTTTCAGTGGCACACACTATCCTCATCTTAGTCATCTTGCTAAATTCGACTGTTGTCCTACTCCTCTCGGTTCTGTTTTTAACTGCTTCCTTGGTTATCTTTCGTCCTAGTGCTTTCTTGGTAAATGTGCTGATATGAGGTGTGGTAACTTCAACCGCTACACAGTAATGCTTAGTCTTGTGTTGAATTTTTCTGAGTCTATCCTCATCCTAACCACTTTTCTGCATGTCTTCACCAGTTTCTAGAACTTTCCTTCTGATAGCGTTCCGTGACCTTCAGCTTAATCATTTTAACTTCCTGTTCTCTTATCATGGTATGATAACTGAAACCATTACGATAAATTATCACGTATTGTGTTGATACTGCCTAACAGAATGAGTAATACTTATAAAATAGGGTTACGGGTAACATGAAAGGAAGATTGGAAATCACACCCGAAATAAACAAGAACAGTGAATCAACACCCAATGCACCAACTAGGAATGATGTAACACCTTTTCTGGAGATATCCTAACACCATTGAAAGCAAACAGTGAAAGGTGATAAGACTATAAAATCTAGGTATTTGGACATCTTGGTAAGATTGTGCAGAATAATTTCAGCTCGAAATGTCATTCCATAAATATTACATCATCAGTGTGTACCACATCAAATAAATGAATCTGATATGAAATGTGTGGTGAAGTTGAGTGACAGTAATGGATAGAGTTGACATAAGATGTTGCAAAATGAGTAGTGGCCCCCAAACTCGGAATTAATTCATCAGAAGAATGTCATAATGGCCACGAAAACCTGCATTTTGGTGCTATGTTCTCTGAGCTGGATGTTCTAATTGTAGAGCTTTTATTGTCATTCTAAACAATATCATCAGCACAAACTTCAGAAAGAAGCGAGTTGTGACGTTTTCTCCACAGGTCCCTTAATAGCTGATCATAGTAACTTTGAGTGTGAATGGTTGTTCCTGCCAAATTCTCGTCATTATCTTCACGTTTACTTCCACTGGCTTCCCCACTGTCGTGAAATTTCACCTTCCTTTTGTTTCTTACTAGTTGTAAGATTCAGTCAGTGTCAATATGCCTGTTGACTGTCCTGAGGGCTATGCTTCTAAACATTCTTTGTATTTCTTCTGTCCAGGATTTCCAAGTTTCCTCAGTCGAATTCATGTTCACATTTGACCTTATGTATTGAGATGGGCGAAGTTATATCATCATGTCTCAATGTAAGTTGATGTTCATGTAGACGAATACGAAGAGGAAAACTACATAGAGAGAGGAGATTTTGTCGACTTGTGGGCTTTAACGATTTCGAATGGCTTCAGTAATCTAACTCCTATCTCAGATAAGTTCTTAGTGTAAGGTAAGACAATCCGTTTTATGATCTCTAGGGATGACTTCTTGGTTGGCCGTGAACTTGACAAACAGCTTTTGATGAAGTTGCGTGGATAGCCGTACTTCCGAAAGAGTCATAAAACAGTTTTCTTATCTCTGTGAGGTTGTTGTGCTACGATATCTTCACTCTTTTGGACAATGTTTTTATACAACTGACTTTGTGTACTGTTCGGTTATTGCTACTGTAATTGAGGATTCGATCAGTATGATTTGGCTTTCTGGATACCTAAGTTTCTAATTTTTCTGAATCCGTTACGGTGATCAGAATATCTACAAATACGATCTCATTGTTTGGTTCCTCTTCAACTATGAATTTGATGTCATCGAAAGCATTGTTGATTAATTTGTAAGTGCTTTCCAATTCATTTCTTTTAATTACGACAGGTGTCATCCACATATAGAACCAAACGTTTTATTTTGATCAACGGGTAATGCATGTTTCAGTTAGCATTACTGCTTCTGCAATTAGACCTGATACTGGCGTTCCTTTCATCTGTTTGTAGAGTTTGCCGTTGAATTGGAAGTATTTTGTAAGACATTAATTGATTCATTCTGTTAAACTTGAAAATTGTAGTTGTATTTCCTGAGAAGTGTGTATCATTGTCGAGGAGAGGAATTACTGCATCCTTAGCTAGTTTCGGTTGGATGGAGATATGTAGAGCTGTAACGTCAAAAGACACCATTTATTCCGTCGTTGTCGATACGAATATCCTTCATCTTCAAAAATTGAGTCGGAGAGTTGACAGTAGCCTTGTGGATAACACTGCCGTCTGGAGCGGTTGGTCCTGGATTCGAGGCTTAGAATTACGCATCCTGGATCCCACTACCCATCATTACTACCAAACTGAAACTATAGGCAATATCGAGGCGTGCACAAAGGTGAATCTATTAACGTGTTTATGAATGGGCTGAAGTGAATGAACTAGGATGGAACTCATAAGGTGGGACTCAACTCCAAAGTGAATTGATAACAGCCGCAAATTATTATTTTTTTATTATTAGTCCCTTGGGTTCCTAGTGGAACATAGGGCTTCAGTAGCACGCCTCCAGTGACCTCTGTTCTCTGAGATCTTTTGAACCTGGTTCCACGACAGCCCAGAAGCTCTCATTTCCTCCTCGCATGACCTCCTCCATGTCACCCTCGGACGTCCAACTCGTCGCTTCCCATGGGGATTCCACTCGAGGGCTTGGCCTGACGCGTGATGTCCTCAGTCGGCCTTCTCAGTGCATGGCCAATCCATCTCCACTTCCTCCTGCATATTTGTTGCGTGATAGGTTCTTGGTTGGTTCGTTCCCAGAGTTCCAACAGCCGCAAATAGACATAATTAAATTGGGACAGTTAGTGAAAGCATAATAACTAGGTGATATGTTCACACTTCTGAGCTACAGTATGATAAGACGAATTCGTTGTTTCCAGTTGTTTTAACGGTTCAGAAGGATGATTTTGATGTTGTTGGGCTTTCTGAGTTTGATGGTTTAATTGTGAAGCTTTTGTTGTCATTCCAGCCAACATCATCAACACAAAGCAGTGAGCTATGGGTTATCTACACAATAAACTGCGGAAAACACTACATCGGACGGAGTGATGGCACTCTTTGCATCCGTCTACATGAACATCAACTAGCAGTGAAGTGTCATGACATATCTTCGCTCATATTAATGCATGTAGATAACTGTGGAGATGAATGTGACTGGCAAAAAGTGAAAATCCTGGATAAAGGAAATGCAAAGAATGCCACAGAATTTTTAGAAGCTTGGCATTCAGATCGGTCAACGATTAACAGACATTAACATTGACCTAATCTATCGATATGTAATAATCAGAAGGTCAAAGTTCACATCAGCAGAACAAGCAATCAAAATAAATATGAAGACAATGACAAGACTGGGAGAAACAACCACTCACATATAAGATCATCAGGACAAGCTATTAAGCCACTTGTGGAGAAAACCTCATAACTCAATTCCTTCTTAAGTTTGTGCCGATGATGTTGTCTAGAGTGACAATGAAAGCTTCATGACTAAATCATACACCTCAGACATTGCAACACCGTCAAAATTGGTATTACCCCTACCTGCTTTATGATATGCTTGCCACTTGGATGATGCAACATTTCTGATTGGTTCAATAAAAACTTTATTACCGGTGATCCTCAACTTACGCTAATAACACAAAGTTCCGTGCTATCCTTAATTTTGGACAACTGATTTTATTGCTGAACAATACTTTGCAACTAATGAGTATGAATTAAGCTGTCGTCACTAAGTATTTCCGATGTGCGATATATAACTAGACGAATTTACTACTAACAATTTCAAGCATATCCATACTTCATCTCCTGAAAATGGGCATAACTAGGAATGATAATTAGTGAGGTGAAGTAGTACTGTTTCGAGCTAGAAGTGAGCTATCAACATAAGGGAGGCACAACAATATTATCGACTTAGTCTACAGTGTTTGCATTCGTATTACAATTATTCATGTAAAGTGGGTGTTGTTATCAGTAGCAGAATCAGAAATCATAATATGAACACATGATGAAGAAAGCCAAGTAACATTCAAAGAGAAAAGTATACGAGAAAATTTTCCTTCACAATAAAGTAAGGTTTTTATTATGTAGCATAATCATTTTGTACTGGGGTTAGGAAACAACAGATTGGTAAAGTGAAAGTCTAAAACTGTCAACATTCAGAGAGATCACTTTCGGCTGTCTGATATTAGATATAACCAGAAGAGCAGATTAAAAAAGAGAATAAAAACAAGATAGTACAATACTCTGTACAACCACTTCCATAGATTACTACAAGTTTCTCTGTTGAAACCTCCACATTGCTACAAACAAACGAATCAACTGAAACGATCTACTAAGCTAACTTAAAACCACTTACAGTTTACTCCGGTGTAAATTCAACAGAACAGTGCCCATAGCAAACAGACAGCAGCCTAAGAAGTGATGGCGACCATGGAACACAAGTGTCGTTTTGCTACAGCATTGGACTTAATAATCATGTACCCCCTAATGAATGCTGACAAGTTTTCATTGGTTTTCGGAAGCTAGCTTGAAACGTTGCAAAATAAGATGGAAAAACCCAACTAATTTCACCTGATTCAGCAATTTTCTCATTCGTCTTGAATTACAGAAATGGTTTACTTACTGGTAAACGGTTACAGCTAACTGGTTTAAGTACTCGATATTCAACCAGTGAAGTACTGATTTGAACTCTCACCGCAACTACCCACGTCAAAGCACTTATTTTACACCAAAAAACCATCATATGAAAAGGTTTAGCATACAGTTTGCATTACGCTCGTACACGGTTTAGCAAATGAATCTTTCATGAAACAATATCCATTATGAAATTATTTCATACTTTGGTATAATCAGTGGTATCATAGTCTACCAGCCGAATTCAAATAATAAGGGATAGTGGTTAATATTCATAAAAAGAATCATCTTTATGCACAAAGAACGAAAATCTTTGAGAAAAAGTTCTAATTCTGAGTTTATAACAGTATGATAAATTAGAAAAAATCATGTGAAATCACGTTTCGTACAAGAGTCACTACTTTTTATATCATTACTCTTCGCTAGTTGATCAGCTTTCATCATGTAATCCTTTGCTTTCAACTCATCCGACTCAACTCCATCACCACTTGAATACATTTTGGCAATATTACGACAAGAAAATTCATGGCCTAATCTACAACCTTCCATCCATGCTTTAAAAGCTTCACAGCGTAGACGATGACTGTCAGATTTTTTTGAGTCACTAGATTTATCATTTTCTCTAGCCAACACCATTGCTGCACCACCAAGATGAAAACAACTCTCTGATGCTTTAAACTGGCAGCCTAATTCAAAGAATGGCATCGCAGTCGATAAACTAGGTGTATGACTAGCTATGCCATCAGCAACTAGTCGACCAGCAGCCTGTAAGTAGTAAAAAATAATAAAAGATGACAAAAATTCATGTTTTGAAAAATGGTAATAAAAAGTTAATATGATAATAGAAGAGTGGAAAAAAGTATAGGTCATGACGGAATTTCTTCCGAGAGGCTCCATATAACCAGTCTAGTGTTCGAACAATCTACCTGTCCAGCAACTAGTAACTTACAAACCCTCTCCGTCTGTCTTAAAGTTCGGTTCCTTTTAGCATGTTTACAGTGCAAACACATACTTCATAATTTACACTACGGGTAGATTATTACATGGTCTACAGCAGTTGAAGATAAAATTGCAAGACACCGGATGATGGATTAACTAAAAATCAATTGTTGCCGAAAAGTAGGTTTTGATATACCTAAAGCTGCCGAATAGGATTCTAATTTTTGATCCACTTGATTGATAAATCTCAATCAGTAACGAAGACTACACTGTGATGCGAATATTTACTAGGTAACACCATATGCCGAATACAAACTTCTTTCACGGCGTAAATTAACAAGTAACTACCCTAGGAACTTCAATAGCAATATTTGACCATCACACAGATTATGAGCTCCCCAGATAACAAAGATAGTTCTTGCAGTTAAGCGACAACAAACAGCAAATAATGGCTCCGATTTCCCACCGAACAACTGAAGGCTGAACGAGACAAAATAAGATGTGAAGAAACTATTTCAGCTGTTAAAACTGTAATAATTGTGAAGGAATCGAAAAGTTCAACGGTTAACTGGATGGGAATACAAAACAAGACTACTAACCAACCTGACAACATTTTCCTTGTTTTCCTGCTTTGCAGCCATGTTCAAATGCACGAAAAGCTTCAAGTGGATCTCGTAATACATCAGTACCACCAATTATCTTTAGAGAACCGAGTTTGAAGCAACTATCTGCATAGTTATTTTTAAAACAGTTCTCTTTAAGGATATCTACGGTCTTGTTCAATAGCTTTTTGTAATTACTATACCATACAGCCCACGAATGACAACCTTCGTAGTAATAATGTATCGTTGGAGGGAAAATGCAACGTACTCACTAACGGGATCATTTTCACGCACACAACCATACTCGAAACGCAATCCTAAATCCTCCAAATAATCATGCATTTCAGCGATTGGTTTGAAATCCAACATTCCAGAATCAGACATCTCTGAATAGTGCAAGGAAATGAAAAAACAGTATGTTAATAATCGTTAGTATTGAGTGAATAAAGAAAGTTTACAGGTAGCATACAGGGGAAATCAATAAATAAGTAGCTTAAAATGCCTTTATAGATTATTTGAAGAGAATCAAGATTCTCTAAGCAGGCTTTACAAAGACAACCTAAATGATGAGCGATTACTTCAGTCACCAGTAGACACCACTTGCGGAAAAGTACAAAAAGAAAACCAGCAAAAGCAGAATAATAAAATACTCAGGTAAAATATGAGAATCAGTAAATAAATGGAAACTAAGATTTTTAGGATTTGGGATGTGACAGGAAGTGAATTTCTGTGTCAAAGTGACCACTTCTATGTTGTGAGTCTAAAACCATTGATTCCTACATTTCAAGGAACCCAACTAAACAATCGATACATTTATTGAGCGTTTAAACTAAATGTTAGAGAATAATGGATTGGTGTCACGTCAGTGCACACTTAACTTTCTTCCGTCGCAATTCTGATTCAGTTAAAAATGTTCGGGGTAGACGATGACTTATCATGAATACAATATATATTATATTTGATGAAGGCTTCCAAACGTATTGACTTACTTGTATTCCCTTTCTCACCACTCTAAGTACACGCTTTATGTTGCTAACGCTACAGTTCGACTAAATACGGAAAAGGCAACGCTGATCATAAACCTGGTTTTTCCATACCCTCGACCTTCAGTGGTTTCATTCTTCCAGCCATAGTACACGTTAAAGAGCAGAACATTTGACCATTACTATGCTACTGAATATCTCATTAGTACCAAAAAGGTAGGCTTAAGGTTTGATCGTGGGTGTACTGACTAGACATTCACACCTCACCAGGTTATGGAATAGGCATATTTCCTGACGCCAAACACTGGTTGTATTTCTCGATCTGAAGGCAGCATTCAATTCCATCGATAGGGAATCTTATGGCAATGATTGCCGCTGAAATAAGCACGGAGTAAGTCCGTCATTCTGGTGAAGGTTTCGCACTCAAACACCAGCGACTGTTAGAGCCTATTGTGAGTTGTGTACTTCGAGTGGTCTGTCTAAACTGTCCACTCTCCCCATTCTCATCCAACTCTGTTACAGACGTACTTATGGAGGTTTCTCTTTTGTCATCATACATCACAGCGATTGATCTTATCACAAGAAAATCCTTAGTAGATAGAGAGTGCGCAGATGATATAGTCCAGCTTAGTGAAGACCTTGACAACATGTAATCTACTGGACACCTTGGGTGGCAATTTTAGGATGTGCTTCTTGCCAAGCAAATGCAAATCGTTGCTACAGGACTGGTCTTCAGTGGTGCTCTGTTGAACAATAAGGAGTGTAGTGGTTGAGTGCGTTGACCACTTCATTTACCTAGAAAGTCGCATCAGCGCTAGTGAGTTAATGATAGACGAATTCTCAATACGTATGCAAAACTGGCATTCGCCAACTTCCACTAGATAGCACCGGCGTGATATCCAATTAGAAACCCACTCAGCAACCTTGTGCATATTCATGCAGCTAGCAATGAGCCAGACATTGTGCATGCTAGTGATACTACCTGGGTACCCAAAATTTGGTAGACGAAGCGGGTTTTGAACCCTAACCCATCGGTCGAGTCATCTCACTAAACCAACGAGCCACAGCTCCACACTGCATGCCTGTGAAACATGATCACTGAAAGTAGCGGACATGAGAAGGCTTCGGGTGTTCAATCACCTTTGCCTTCGTAGCATAAATCATGTGTCGTGTAACAACGATAGTAATGCAAAAGTCAGGTGGAGTTTTTGAGGGAAGAGGAAATTCATTTAATTAGATTGTGAACCTTTATCAACTGGGGCGACTGAGACATGTTACGTATGCTTGGTAACCATCTTCCTGGTCGCACAATGTTGGTTGAAGCAGGTCTAAGCTCGAAAAAGGGTAGCGGCGAACAGAATTAAACATGGTATCAGTTCTATAAGTTTTTGATTTTTGGTCTGAGCCATGTAGATAAATTCAGACTTCCCGGTTGGGGTACGCGTGACAACAGAAATCAGTGGTTGGAGGCTCTAGATGACATAGCTCAGAACCGATCTCAACACCACAGACGTATCCACATATTACATTCATCTTTATCATAATACTGAATTCAGTGTTTTCTTATTCCTTTTTCACTTTGCTTGCTACATTCTACTACTTTTGACCCATTCTTTTTTTCATCTTACATTTTAGAGCTTTCTCGCTTGATGTGCTGATATAAGGTGTGGCAACTTAGATCATAATACAGTAATGCCTGGTCCTGTTGAAAGTGGTGATAATTCATCACTAACAGATAAAGCTCGTACAGAACGCATTAGATTTGATCCCGTTTTGTGGCTAAATAGGTCTCAATTATCGCATCAGCTATTGTATATATCTGAATACTTAAAAATCACTGTTGGGTTAAGTACAAGAAATGGCTAAAAAACTCTCCCACTTACCAAGCTACTTTTATGTTTCCTCATCCATAATCTGTAAAAAGCGAAATGTAGTCAGCAACCTTGTGCACATTCGTGCAGTAACCAGTGAGCCATACATATTGTATGAGGGCTAGTGACACTACCTGGTTGTTAAACCTCGTTAGGTGGAGCGACGTTCAAACTAGCTGGTACCAATCAACTAGCTTCACGCTCTCCGCTAGGTGTTGGGTAGGATTCCCAGTTTCCTTTTAGAACATAAAACAGTACGCCTAATGTAAGTCTTTCGTAATTCTGGTGGACACAGAGTGATTAGTTGAAGCATCAACAACGAAGAACGAAGAGAAAACAAAGGGGAAGGAGTAATGGAGGTAAAAAGGCACCTAACATGACTGTAGTACTAATAAAGATGCTGAATGACAGTTAAGACAGCTGTAGTACTAGTCTTTTCCCTAAACTAAGCCTATTTGCTAACATAATCAAGTACGTCTGAATGGGTCTCTTACATCTTTCTGGATCTCCCAACCGCTTGTATTTTGACTAGATCAGATTACACAGCATCCTAGGCAATGCAGAGTTGAAACAGAAGTGAGATCTTAAACGTGTTTCTTCGCTTTATTATATATATATATATACGCCAAATATAAATTCGGCGGTAAAGTCTTGCAGATGCAGTAACCTAGACAGTTTGAAGAATTATCAGCTATCATTTCACCCCGTAACCTGAATAAAATGAATGTGTGGAACTAACAGTTGTAGCCGATTTATGTCTTTCCTTTAAAATTATGATACCTTCCACAATTCTCAATCTCAAAATGTCAGCATGAATTTGCGGAACAATGGTGAAACAACGATATAAACCCTGGGATGAAGCTCTATATATGTTACTTATTTATTACGGAGAAGCTAGACAAGTGACCCTAACTGCCTATGTAGGAACTGCGGTAAACTTGTTTTAAATAACCACTACTCGTATGTATCAGCATTATAATTGAGCGACGTGAACGAAAACGTTTTGGAAACCAAATGTACCTTTACAAAGCTATTGTAATCGCTGAACATTCTCCAAGTGAAAGGTTAGTGCATATGAAGTCAGAATATGGACGGACAGATAGAATGTAGCAGCCTTATCGTCACGCAGTAGACTACAAGCGAGTGACAGCTAGTCAAAATTCACTCAGTAACCTTGTGCACACACGTGCAGTAGGCAGTGAGCCACACCTACTGTGTGAGGGCTAATGATACTATGTGGCTGCCTAAAACTCCGTAGGTGGAAGGGGCATTCAACCCGTGACCCATCGGTTGAGTCATCTCCTTAAACCAATAAGCCACAGCTCCACAGTGTAGTAAGTAATATGAACCACTTTTCAAATTTCTATGTAAATGGGGTCATGTTTAAATAATTGGTCAACTTTTTGGATATTTAAGCAGAAGAGTCCCATTAAATGTTCTACAAAAGCATGTTAGTATATATACTAGTGAGTGAATATACATCTTTTTGTATTCATTGGGTTAGTTGTAGACTGGTTATTGAAACCAACATTGCCCATATCTACAAAGATTCAAAACCATACAAGGATAACTTTGGAACACCAGGAAGTCCACTATATAGCTGGGGCGCTTAATATTTTGCCAAATGGACATTAGCTAAAACGTTGTAGGGGAAATTATGCACCATGATAATGCAATAAATGGAGGATTCATGTATCTTCACAGCATTACTTAGTATCACCACCGACAATGCGCACCATCCTTGCATTCTTTCGCATTTTAACGTCGTGGTGATTATCTTTGTTCGCGCAGCTATACGTTTGGTGTAGGAAACAAGGACCATATGCAGTTGGCACATAAAAAAGCATCGGATCGCAGGGAAATATCTAGGTCCAAGATGTCTGGGATCAGCACCAGAAAATAACTCCACGTTGGTATGCTGCGCATTTTGTCTTTCATGTACAACCTGTCATATATTTTAGCAACCAGGATAGATACGCTATTCAAGTGATTCTAATCAACCCCTTGCAAACAAACCCGGAGAAAACTCAAGTCTTGCATAACTACTTACTGCAGAGATCAACAATCCCCAACTCCTATTTCGATCGTGTTCGCTGAAGGTTACAGTAGCGCAGTTTTCGCGCTATCTCGATTACATAACAAATGCTCACTATCAGTCTTCCGTATTAAAGATAGTAGATCAATTGGTTTATCCTAGTTCTTGAAGTCGATCGCTTCGTGAAGATCTGATTTTCCCTTGAATACACTCACCAAAGGAGTTGGCACAACTTGTTTGGAGGCAGGAAATGATTCAGCGTATCCAGATGTTTCTTATGTGATAGACTCGAAAGTCAGACCACAAGCTTAGTATTTCTTGTTGAACATGCTCAAGTAAGTTAGCATCATTTTTAGGGCATCAAGTGACCGCTTAAATGCTGTAGTGTTGGTCTAACGTACACGGGATAGAGTATCCTGAACCTATCATGGACAAGGCTTTTGAAAACTTGGCGTAGGGACCACAAAAATCCCACAGTATTGTAAGGATTCTTTCAGACGACGTCTAAGTCTTTTGGTTATGAGACCTGGAGTGGTCGTGAGCTGTCCATGGAAAGCTGAAAGCAGTTTCCGTGGCCGAAGGATTTAACTACACTTTTGCTGAAGTTGGCTTCTAGGTACCAAAGTATGAGTCAATTTACCTGTTCACCCAATTCCACCTGAAGCGCATATCGATGGACATCATTCCACACTACTCTCTTGACCTGTTAACTACCAGCGAATAGGAGTGGCAAAGAACTGAATGTTTCTAGTAACATTTTGGAAGTAAAAAGAGGGGGAAGGAATGTTCCGCTTGGTTCCTCGATGGCTTTTACTCTTCACCTTTTATCGTGCGGAACTTCTCGAATCCAAACTTTCAGTGCACACCTGAACCAAAAAGAAGAGATTTCCCTATAATTATGTTATTATGATTATCATCGCTGCAAGCGGTTCACGGACCATATCAGGCGAAGCTAGTAACAACCTGGGGTGAACTGCGTCGGTACCTGTAATGCAGGTAAGCCGCTTTCTGAGTCACAGGGTAAATTGGTCTCTGGTCATCTGTTCAGAGTGTACCTTCTACGACAACTGTTGGGAAAGTTTAGACGGATATCATATGGAAGGAGGCGCGATACTCCAAAATGTGACCCGAAATTTCTCTCAATCTTCCTCGAAGTTCCAATCTACATTCAGTGACCAGCCTGCAGCATCCCTAAGGCTGACACGTTTACTTGTTAAATATTCGGCTAAAAATAACAGTAGTGGTTCACCCCTGAATTTACAGGTGCATATCATTTTTACAGATACGGTCGCAGCAACTGGTGGTGGAAAATCTCCGGTATTATTTTTTTATAAAAATATTTCGCCGTCTCCTTTTCATCCCAGGCAGTGGAAATACGCAGTCTGAAAGAAAGAAAACATCATACCACAAACGAACAGAGCTCTTTAAGTTAAATTTAGAATTTTTGTTGTGCTTTTAGGTTATCTGCAGAAGTGAAAGTCGTGTCTGATAAATATGTAAAATTATCACCCAAAAAGAAGAGGAAGTAACGTAGCAACTTCTTTCTCGAAAAAGTAATGCTGGCTAAATTACTCAAGTGCTTTGATTTCAAGGATCATATATATAGAGCAAAGTACTACGGCAGGTTCAATGTTTTTTCAAAGGATATCGATTTTCAGCTTCATTGAAACATCAAGATATACCGTACAGACAATGATAAATAATACTGATAACAATACAGCGCCCTCCCGATGAAACAATCTGTTTTTGTTTGTTCATGCTAAATTGGACGGATGTTCACCGTAGCCGCCTTGAGGTCAGTTCGTAAACCGAATCAAAACTTGTCAGCACAAGGAGGTATTGGAGGCCATTCATGAACTCGTAGTGGTGGGCAGAAACTAGACCCAGGACTGATGCGTATTGCTCAGGTTCAAAGTGCCTTGGCGCTGCTGCGTCTTGTGCGAGAGCAAACCTGAAGAACAGTTTGTAGGAGATAGTCAAGGAAACAACCGTGTGAACCTCTCGCTGTCACCTTCTAAATGACGAAAGGCACCGGCAGTTCACCCGCCCAGATAAAGCAATAAAACGTCTTCAGCTTGATTATTGAATCTGTGGTACGGGACGCTGCATCATTTTTACTTTGGCTTCCAGCTCGGAACTCCAAGTGTGTTGTCGGGGTGCGTTTTTGTCTTCACTGTGTACGCTGCTATAACTTCTAGAAAACGTTGAATGTTTACGCTACTGATAATCAACACGCATGTGCATTTGGGCACTCCCTCTAGTTATTGCGTTTCGTGCTTCCTATCGCTTCAGTCTATGAACACCACACTAGTTCCCTACAGACAGGTTATCTGTACCTTAAGCCGAGTTAGTATAGCATACAGATGTGCTGCCTGATCGTTCATCCAGCCTATTAACAGCAGTCTCAGTAACATTGGGTGTTGGGATACCGTGACCCGAAACCTCATCGTCTTCAAATTTTTTCGTCGTATTCTACCAAAGCCTCAATTCAGCTGCAGCGCCTATCCTACTAACCCTACCTTCTCTTGGCCAAGCAGGCTGCCTTTCCATACTCCCTGTACGTTTCATGCATCGGTTAGGGTAACTTCCTGTCCTCCACTGTCCCTCGAGATTTGTTCCAATAATAAGCGAGATCCTATTAATATCTGTTGTTCGCGGTCCACAGTTTTTATGCCTTTTGCCATGTAAATCTCCTGAAGCTTGCGGAAGTATTTTCTGGGCTCCCACACCCCACCACGCAATCCGCACGCTTCTTTGCACAGTCCAACCCTTGTTTTCCCAGTATTGTAGATTGTGACACTACATACGTTCCGTGACATTTCTGATCTTTCATCAGTCCTCATTTAATAAAAGCCTTTGAACGTTGTTTCATTACATTTGTCCTCAAAATCAGTGGATAAAGATTCAAGTGCTTTTTTGACCCCCGAATTTCGAGCACAGTTTGAGAATATAGGCTCGGTGCATATAGTAACCCCTGCATGGTTCCATGGTGGATCGAAGGGTTTCATGCCGGCGTGCATCTCAATTTATGGGCTTTTTCAAGTATCCACCGGTCCTTGTGAAATGCTTTATAACACTACAGCCGTCTTTTGGAGCCGCTGACCGTCAAAAAACTCTATTATGAGACATTTTAGACGGCCTTCTCTCTCCTGTATACCGTTTTCACCGTGCTGTTGGCTCAGTGTAATGCCACTTGGAGTACTATTTCGTTGGAGCTTCTTAGTGAACGACAGTTCACCCGTTTACGACTTGAAATGCTCGACAATAGAAGTACCTCATCAGAGCGGTGCTGGTCTGCTACATCGCTCACAATTCATGGTTGCTGGGCTAGAATAAACTCGATGAAACCCGCAACCACGACCACTGAATAATATGATTCCTCAAGATTGTTCCCATTAGTTCGGCTACAACTGTTTTTTTCATGAACATCGGTGAAACGAAGAGAAGGGAATGGTCAGCATTGAGAACCCTTCTAAGACTACGAAAAGATGGCAGCATGTGGAATTTTCTCCGCATATCATGGATACTTCTATAACCAGAAGGAAGGACCTGAGACTCGTGAAACGTTTATTCAGGGGACCTTCAATTACCGTGGGGTATACACTTTTCCTGCAATGCAAACCAATATACTCTTCAGAAAGCACTCTTCTGCGTTCACTGTATCGGAGGGGAGAACAACATTTCACCCCGTTGGTCGCAAAATAACTGTGGCTTAAAACAAATCACTGAGTACTTAAAATACCCAAGTACTGGCCAAATGAGCTGCCAAGATCTCAACAGTTGGCCTTCGTATTGTTGAGCTTGCTTTTATTTGTGGTCACAAGCCCCCCAAAACTAAGCACTTTGCTTTTTCTCTCCGGTGAACAACAGCTGCATACGGAGAGTATCTAGTTCGGTTATGTGTAATCAAACGAGCGACAACCTTTTCCCCGAAACTATCGGTGACTGTAGACTCATAAGCGCACAGCGTTTCGTCTGCACGTATCTTCTTGTTTGTCTTTCAGTAGCAGCATCCACACCTAAGCAAGGCACCAACTGGTTTGTAGCTAGTGCACTTCGATTTATGTAAGATTTGCAACATGCTGCCTGACAGTTACATGACCACACCATTTCGACTGGTAGACCTAAGTGTCATCCCATTCATGAGTACGCAGTGTGGCCTGCATCCTTTTTCTGGTTATTTTTCCCAGTCCGTACAAAACACATAGGCTTTTGTTTCTTTTCTTTACATTTCGCAGCTTCGCTTTTGCTTTCGAAAATATTGGCCTGTAGAATATCGTATAAACTATCGGTAGCTGATCATCAGGACTGCAGTGTAGACCGCACTCTCTACACAGCTGCCTAAGTCCTTGATGCACAGACTGTCAATCTGCTTCATTGATGGAAAAGTTCAGATTACCACATCACGAATTACAGCGTAAGAAGCAAAGTCTAGCCGAATCACTGTCGGCCTTACAGAGAATGTCATCTAAGTGAGATTTAATATGCTCCATTACTTAGCTCCGAACTTTTGTGAAGGCTTTAAACATGCTCTCACCAACTGCGCTGTCCTACAAGAGCGAAAAGAGACTGCAGGTGCTGTCTAGAAACATTCGCCTGGAGGTTCATTAGCCTGCGGAAATGCCACAAACAAGGTCCAACGCCGAAAGGACTGCCTAGCCTTGGGGGAACGTTGCATGAAATGACGACAATAAATAAATACAATAAAACACCTGCTGCTAAATACAGAGACGTGCGCAATTTCTATAAACATGAATGAATTTTTGTGGAAACAACAAGTTTCTTTGTGGGCGATAATCTCAGTCCCCACCTTTTTGTCACTGGAAGACGTAGGTGCTATTTATAAAATGGGACATCCTAGCAGAATACACTCTCCATAGAGTAATGTCCCAGCAGTTATACAGCAATTAATTTGAAAGTGAATCAAAACGGTCAGTATTTTTGCGCTTGTAACTGTGAACCACAGAGTGGGTCATGACTGTAAAAACTGCATGCATTCATATCCAGTAGGTCGAGTAGCGTAAAGATTATTGTTATTGAACAGTTTGTGGCAAAATTTGCGTACCTATGAAGTCTCTATGCAATC